TGAGGGAGTGAATGAGTTGCTTAGTGGTTTCGGGGTTAGGAACGGACGTATTTTGGAGATGTTGCGGAGGTGAAGTCTACATGAGTTTGTCAACGAATGGATCTGGGGCTGGAAGGACATATTGGAGTCTAGGATGACACCTAGTACTCTGGCTTGAGGGGAGGGACTGATGGTGGTGTTTTTGGTCTTGATGGAGAAGTCGGGGGGGGGGGGGGCGCTGGCTGGGGGGAAAACTAGGAGCTCAGTTTTGGAAAGATTTAGTTTGAGGAAGTGGAGTGACATCCAATCTGATATGTCGCTCAGTAGGCTTGTAATACAGGTGGAGACTGAAGGGGTGAGGTGAGCGGTAGAGAGAGATAGATTTGTATGTCGTCGGCATAGAGATGGTAGTTGAAGCCGTGGGAGTGTATCAGTTGGCCAAGGGAGGAGGTGTAGATGGAGAAGAGAAGGGGCCCAAGGACAGAACCTTGAGGGACCCCAACAGAGAGGGGGAGTGAAGAGGAGGTGGCAGCGTTATAGGTAACACTGAAGGAACGCTGTGATAGATAAGAAGAGAGCCAGGAGAGAGCGGAGTCTCTGAGGCCAAGAGAGTGTAGTTTTTTGAGGAGGAGGGGGTGGTCAACTGTGTCGAAAGCCGCAGAAAGGTCGAGGAGTAGGAGCACTGAATAGCGGCCATTAGCTTTGGCGGTTAGCAGGTCGTTGGTGAGTTTGAGTAGGGCAGTTTCGGTGGAGTGTAGGGGGCGGAAGCCAGACTGTAGGGGATCAAGAAGGTTGTTGTCGGTGAGGTGGGAACTCAGGCGATTATAGACTAAGCACTCTAGGAGTTTGGATGTAAATGGTAGGAGGGAGATGGGTCTAAAGTTGTTCAGGTCAGTGGGATCCAGGGAAGGTTTTTTAAGTATGGGAGTGATGTGCGCGTGTTTTAGAGGGGGAATGTGCCAGTACAGAGGGAAAGATTAAAGATGTGAGGGTTCAAGTTGAGGAGGTTTCTGCTGGTGATAGTTTGACGTTTGGAGGGATAGGTGTTTCAGGACGAGGAGACTGTGAAGGTTATGAGATTGTGATCAGAGAGGGGAAATTGGGTGTTTGAGAGGTTATAGGGAGTACAGTGGTGGGAGAAGACAAGGTCTAAGGTATTTCCGTTGGAATGCGTGGAGGACTAAATACACTGTGCTAGCTCAAAAGAAGAGGTTAAGTGGAGGAGTTGGGATGTAGCCGGGTTATTGACGTTAATAGGGATGTTGAAGTCTCTGAGGATGACAGTGGGTAGCTCAGAGGAGAGAAAGTAGGGTAGCCAGGCAGCGAAGTTGTCGAAAAAGCGGGACACAGAGCCAGGAGGCCGGTAGATCACTGCAATCCTCAGGGAGGTTGGAGAGAATAGCCGGATGCAGTGGGTCTCGAAAGAAGAGAAGGATAGAGAGGGAGGGTTAGGGAGGACTTGAAAGGTGCTTAGAGGTGACAGAGGTAGACCAATCCCGCCTCCTTTCCAACCGCTGGGCCTGGGTGAGTGGGTCAAGGTGAGGCCTCCATAGGAGAGTGCTGCGGGGGAGGCAGTGTCAGCTGCTTGGAGCCAGGTTTTGGTGAGGGCAAGAAGGTTAAGAGAGCAAGACACGAAGAGGTTGTGGATAGAGGTGAGTTTATTGCAGACCGAATGGGCATTCCAGAGTGCACAGGAGAACGGGAGAGTGGTTTTGGGGAGCAAGGGGACAGATATAAGATTGAGGGGATTGCGGTGATTCCCGGGGGAAAGAGGATGTCTTGTGTTTGGGCAAAGTAGAGGAGGACCAGGGTTCGGGGAGATATCCCCAGAGGTTAGGAGGAGAAGAAGGGTGAGGAAGGTGGCATGTGAGCGGGATGTATATGGGCGCGCATGCCTTCCAGTCCTGGTGTTAGGGTCAGCATCTCCTTTTACACCTCCTATCTGCATCAATTATTTCCTAACGCTTACCCTTTTAGAGTCCTAGATTTGCCATGGGCACAACATGCAATATATCACAACAGCCACCACCAAGATAAATCTCTAAATTGAAATTATTTCTTCATTATCACATTCTGCTTATAAGACTAATTTTTCCACATTTCATTTAACACATTTCTTCTTCCAGGCTCTGGGATTCATTGAAAGGTGGCCTTCAGTGCTGCTTTGGCTTATGCCAGAAATCTCATGAATAGGAGCTTGCAGAGACTGCGAAGATGTGTTTGGTCTCAAAAGAAGGCAGTGGCACTCTGGGTCAAAGTCACAGTGCCAGATTCATCACTCTGATTATGAAGATAGACAAGTTATCCAAAAGTCGATGACAGCTACCTGGCTTGGATACCTTGTTCTGCTGCTGCTTGAGAAAATGTATAAACTGCAGTTCTTTCTTGCAGGTGCTATACACTATATTGCCAAAAGTAATGGGACGCCTGCCTTCACACCACATGAACGTTAATAGCATCCCAGTCTTAGTCCATAGGGTTCTCTATTGAGTTGAACCACCCTTTGCAGCTGTAGCAGCTTAAACTCTTCCGGGAAGGCTCTCCACAAGGTTTAGGAGTGCATCTATGAGAATGTTTGGCCATTCTTCCAGAAGCGCATTTGTGAGGTCATGCACTGATGTCGGATGAGAAGGCCTGGCTTGTAATCTCCTCTTTTTATTCACAATAAGGGTGTTATATCGGGTTGAGGTCAAGACAGTCAAGTTCCTCCATCCCAAACTCACTCATCCATGTCTTTATGGACCTTGCTTTGTGCACTGGTGTGCAGTCATGTTGGAACAGGAAGGGGCCATCCCGTACTGTTCCCACAAAGTTGGGAGCCTGAAATTGTCCAAAATGTCTAGCGGATTTCCAGCCCCTGCCACCTCCCCAAAAAATGTAAATACTGTAGCTGTTGACTTTTAATAGTAGGGCACTTACCTGTCCATTAATCCAGTGATGTTTTCACCCCCAGCCGATTCTTCAGTTGGCTGTTGTGTGCTAGCACTTCCATCTTGACTAAGGCAAACCATCAGTGAAGCCTTGTGGCTTCACTGCTAGTTTCCTGATGCACATGCGCCAAGCGTTCTGTGCTTTGTGAATGGGCCACAGTGCTCTGGGACCTTGGAAGCATCCCAGAGTGCTGCGGGTTGTGTCAAACTTCTGGCTCACTGCAGCAAACTGAGCCGGAAGTGGGAGCGAGTACCTGTCAAAACCACGTACCCCCCCCCCCCAAAAAGTGCCAAATGTGCCAGTGGAGGGGGAAGAGACAGAAAATCTTCCACTTTTGGGTGGAACTCTGCTTTAAGAGTTCCCTTCACTGAAACTAAGGGGCCAAGTCCACCCCCGGAAAAACAAGCACACACCATATTACTCCCTCCACCAAACTTTACACTTGGCACAATGCAGTCAGGCAAGTACCGTTCTCCTGGCAGCCACCAAATCCAGAAACATCCATCAGATTGCCAGACAGAGAAGCGTGCTTTGTGACTCCAGACAACACATCTCCACTGCTCTAGTGTGCAGTGGCGGCATGCTTTACACCACTGCATCCAACGCTTTTGGAGTGCACTTGGAGATGTAAGGCTTGGATGCAGCTGTTGGGCCGTGGAGACCCAGTCCATGAAGCTCTCTACACACTGTTGTTGTGCTAATCTGAAGGCCACATGAAGTTTGGAGGTCTTTAGCTATTGACTCTGCAGACAGTTGGCAACTTCTGCGCACTGTGTGCTTCAGCATGTGCTGACCCCGATTCGTCCTTTTACATGGCCTGCCACTTTGTGGCTGAGTTGCTGTTGTTCCCAATTGCTTCCACTTTGTTATAACACAAATAGTTGATGAAAGTCGAATATTTAGTAGCAAGGAAATTTCACGGATAGACTTATTGCACAGGTGGCAACCTACAGTATTATGGTATCACGCTGGAATTCACTGAGCTCCTGAGAGCGACCCATTCTTTCACAAATGTTTGTAGAAGCAGTCTGCATGCCTAGATGTTTGATTTTATACATCTGTGGCCATGGAAGTGATTGGAACACATTGAATCCAATGATTTGGAGGGGTGTCCCAATACTTTTGGCAATATAGTGTATGCTACTTCCCTATACAATTTTAATGTGAGTGGATTATGGGTCACCAGCTTATAGTTCTGTGTGGCAAAAACAACAATAGACTTCTAGAGCTGGTTGTATAGTTGGATGGAGTTGGTTTATAATTAATAACAGAATTTACCTCTCCGTAAGCCTCCATAAAATTAATTCCTAGCAATAAAGCCCAGCAAGGGTACTACTACTATTTTAAACATCAGGAATTATGAATTGCTATTGGACCATATTGAATGCTAATTTAAATGATTATGGATTTGTTTTAATAATTCAAATTAATTAAGTTTTTTTTGTGTGAAAAGCTTAAGACTCATACGCATGCAGTAGAATAGGATAAACAATTTATAGCTATCATAATCCCAAGATCCATCTTTCTGTTATTGTTTTTATTGTCACTACAGGGTACTTATGGCATGTTCTTAATAAACGAAGGGGAATGCACTATTATAATGGTTTATTGCCTGGCAAAATCCAGCAGTGCTCAAGCATCCTTGTATGCAATTTCTAAACCAGAGAAAATTATTTAACCAAATTCTTCTTGTTTTATTAGGCTCATGTCAAACAAGTCATCCATCTTCCTGTTCACTGTAGAACAGGTTGTCATTTGTCTTTCCTCTTACTGAACAACACAACATAGCACAAGGAGACCATAACTATGTTATAGATAAATCCTTTTTCTTTGTTGCATGGAATTACCCCAAAAATGGAGGGAAAATGTCCGTGTGTCTTTTGGAGTGAATATTGACCAGGAATCTCCCCCCTCCCAGCCACTAGAATACCCGGCTAGCCGCTCGGCTCTTCTGTGGCAGAAAAGAGGAGTCCGAGTCAGCAGTGTAGCAGGGCCAAAAGCAGCTGGCCCTTAAAGCGGAGTTCCAGTTGAAAAAAAAGTCAGCAGCTACGAAAACTGTAGCTGCTGACTTTTAAAATACAGCCACTTACCTGATCCTCAGTCCAGTGGTGTCCTCACCACTGCTGGTTTCACTGGCCGTCTTCTCTCCCTGGTGCTGGCATCTTTAGTGTGGGCATCCGACTTTGACAGCTTGTGGCTTCACAGCTGGGTGTCCACTGCGCATGCGCGAAAAGTGCTGCACTTTGTGAATGGCCACGTAGTCTTCTAGGACCTGTCATGTGTCCCAGAAGACTACAGGGACGGGGGACAACTTCCGCTTCCAATCGCTTAGGCGATCGCAACGGAGGTGGTAGCGGGTACCTGTCAAATTACCCCCCCCAAAGGTCTGCAGTCTCTGGTCATCTCCTGTACTATGTCTGCAGTCTCTGGTCATCTCCTGTACTGTGTCTGCAGTCTCTGGTTATCTCCTGTCGTACTTCTGCAGTCTCTGGTCATCTCCTGTACTATGTCTGCAGTCTCTGGTCATCTCCTGTACTGTGTCTGCAGTCTCTGGTCATCTCCTGTACTATGTCTGCAGTCTCTGGTCATCTCCTGTACTGTGTCTGCAGTCTCTGGTTATCTCCTGTCATACATCCGCAGTCTCTGGTCATCTTCCGTACTATGTCTGCAGTCTCTAGTCATCTCCTGTACTATGTCTGCAGTCTCTGGTCATCTCCTGTCGTACATCCGCAGTCTCTGGTCATCTTCCGTACTATGTCTGCAGTCTCTGGTCATCTCACGTACTATGTCTGCAGGCTCTGGTCATCTCCTGTCATACATCCGCAGTCTCTGGTCATTTCCTGTACTTTGTCCGCAGTCTCTGGTTATTTTCTGTAGTATGTCCACAGTCTCTGGTCATCTCCTGTACTATGTCCGCAGTCTCTGGTCATCTCCTGTACTATGTCTGCAGTCTCTGGTCATCTCCTGTAGTATGGCCGCAGTCTCTGGTCATCTCCTGTACTATGTCCGCAGTCTCTGGTCATTTCCTGTACTATGTCTGCAGTCTCTGGTCGTCTCCTGTAGTATGTCCGCAGTCTCTGGTCATCTCCTGTACTATGTCTGCAGTCTCTTGTCATCTCCTGTACTATGTCTGCAGTCTCTGGTCATCTCCCGTACTATGTCTGCAGTCTCTGGTCATCTCCTGTACTATGCTCGCAGTCTCTGGTCATTTCCTGTACTATGTCTGCAGTCTCTGGTCGTCTCCTGTAGTATGTCCGCAGTCTCTGGTCATCTCCTGTAGTATGTCCGCAGTCTCTGGTCATCTCCTGTACTATGTCCGCAGTCTCTGGTCATCTCCTGTACTATGTCCGCAGTCTCTGGTCATCTCCTGTACTATGTCCGCAGTCTCTGGTCATTTCCTGTACTATGTCTACAGTCCATTGGTTCAGAATATTTTTTTCTCTTGTTTTCCTCCTCTAAAACCTAGGTGCTTCTTATGGTCAGGTGGGTCTTATGGAGCGAAAAATACGGTATATATGATACATATACATTTGTAAGTTTCAAATTCAGTGGGAATTTAAAACATATCTGGTAGTTGAAAAATGACCATTACAAAATGGCCATTAAAAAAAAAAAAAAAAAGTTCTGCTTTAAAGTGAACCTGTGTTTAAAGAGTGAAGATTTGCTATCTAATAGAGCACATCTAGTGAGGTCAATTCTGGCTAAGTAGTACCTTGAACCATCTACTGCCTTGAGTAACTGCAGTGCAGGATAATATACTGCAAACAGATCCCTCCTATGACTTCTATTCTAATGTTTTCCAGGAAGCTATAGTGGCATTTGGATCTGGGCTTCCTCCATCTCTACTTAAGTCTTTTGATCATTCTCCATCAGCCATCAGCCATCAGCAAAAACATTCTTCTCTTAATTAGATCACAATTCCTCAACTGTGAAAATGAGACATGGCCACTAACACACTGGATATAACATGGTAAGTCAATCCTAGGCAAGTCTACTACTGCAGGGAAATTACAGGCCATGCTGTTGACCAATCTTTGATCATCAGCTTCATTTTTTTTTTTGGGCATAGCTTTTGCAGCCTAGGTTATCTTTAATGTGATTCTAAAGGCATAAAAAAAACCAATCATGTCAATACTTACCTGCTGTGTGCAGTATTTTTGTACAGAGCAGCCCGAATCCTCCTCTTTTCGGGTCCTCTGCTGGTGCTCCTGGCCCCTCCCTCCTGTCAGGTGCCCCCACAGTAAGCAGCTTGCTATGGGAGCACCCAAGCATGTGCACTTCCCATTCACTGCTCCGTGTGTCCATTCACACATGGAGCTGTGGCTTGACCCCGCCCTCTCTCTTCTCATTGGCTCACTGGCTGTGATTGACGCAGCAAGGGCCAACGGCTCTCGCTGCTGTCTCAGCCAATAAGCAGAGGGAGTCCAGGGATAGCCAAGACTCAGTGCACATCGCTGGATCGAGAGGGGGCTTAGGTGAGTATTGGGGGGGGGGGGCCTGGGGGGGATGTTGCACACAGAAGGTTTTGTACCTACATGCATAGAATGCATGAAGGTAAAAAACCTTGAGTCTTTACAACCACTTTCAGTCATGTACTGGATGTAATTATCTCTAAGTTACACAACTAAACTCTACTAAACAAAAGATATGATACGTGAAGAATTTGTTAATAATATTTACAACTTACATACAGATCAATCACATTTTGCTCAAAAACTAGTTAGAAAGTTTATTTTGGATATGTCTAATATAACACTGATAACATTTCATTTATAGTTATTTATGCACTTATTGTTGCAATAAAAGAGTCAGTCTATATCACTTATCACAGGAGTCGGCAACCCGTTGATCATGGGCTGGTGGTGGCATCATTTACTGGAACCTTGATCCCCAGTAGTTTCCCCCTTGTCTCCCTTCCACCAGATTTCAGCAGCTGCTGGGGGAACTACAGGGGATCAGTTTCAGTAAATGTCAGTCCTGTCCCCTCTATCCATTTCTCCCTTCCTTCTGCCCCCCCCCCCCCCCAACCAACTCACACTGCTGCTGTCTTTTCCTCCTCTTCTCTCATATTGGCTGCTGCAGGTGATCATTTCAGGATGGAGAGCGGGGGAACGGGCCGGTAAAAGTGTCACTTACTGATCCTGGTACCGATCACCCATAACTGAGGCACAGTAAAATTTGTTTACTATATTTCAGTTTCTGAATGAACAGGGAGACTGTGCAGAGGGCTTTCTCTGTCTCAAAAATGAGACATACGGAGTCTGCATAGACCCCTTATATTTCACCAAAGCCTCCCAACAGGACTGCTAAAAAATTTAAAAAAAAATAATAAAAAGTAAAATTGTAAAAAAAATAATTAAAAAAAAGTAATGAAAAAAAAAACTATTGACACATCCACCAGCCTCTGCCCCAATGAAACTGTCCACTGCCCTACTGACACTGTCGACTGTTCTGACACCATCTAGTGCTCTATTGACACCATCCTCTGACCTACTGACATCAACCTCTGCCCTGATGACACCATCCACTGCCCTACTCACACTGTACACACACCATCCACTGCTCTACATTTGCTGTTCATACACACTCCACTTCCCTATTTACACTGCCCATAGCTCTAATGACCTGACACTGTCCACGTTTATGGTAGGCTAAGTTTATATTTTTACAGTGACATTTGTTTTATTATAATTTTTCTAAGGTTACCTTACTATTTAGTAAGGCCGTGCTAGTTCATTTCTTAAAAAAAAAAAGGAGTAAGAGATCAGCTGTAAACATGTACAAGATGACCCTGGAACGCATCGACTGGCGTGCGCTCCACTCACCTGGATATGACGTCACACGCTCAACATAGGAAACCGCAAGTACGTCTGTCATTTTAGGAAGTTCCACAATAAGGATCCGTCTGTCTTGAGATTTTGTGGGATTGATAGGTTTCCTATGTTGAGCGTGTGACGTCATATCCGGGTGAGTGGAGAGCAAACCGGTTGGTGTGTTCCAAGGTCATCTTGCATGTGCTTAGAGCTGATCTCTTACTCAGTGCTGCCAGTTTGGTTTACTTTCTTGAATCTGTTTTATACTAGGAAGTCTGTTTTGGAGGATTTTGTCAATTGGCAATTTATTTTAAGTTATAATGTGAGTAGATTGAGCACTATTTTATTCAATTAAATGTCTTTGCAATATTGCACTTCTCCTTTGTCTTCCTATATAACTCAACTAATCATTAACCATTAGCCGCCTGGCCAATGGCCGTTTGGCGGCTTCAGATGTGCCTCTTCATTCTGGGTGCACGCCATTTGGCGTGCTCCCGCACATGCGCCTTTTGCGGTAATGCAGAGCGGCGCAGCAGCGGGATCTGTCACGGGTCGTGCACCTCGGACACGGCCGATGACAGATCCGAGTACCGGCTCCCGTTGCTGGTACCATGGGACCTGCTGTGACCAATCACAGCAGGTCACATGGCAGTTGTATACAATGGATGGCTTCATTCATGATGCCATCCATTGTATACTAGTGCCTAGCTGTGAATGGTCACAGCTAATCACATGCACATGTCATGTGATTAGCTGTGACCAAATCACAGCTAAGCACAAAAAAAAAAAAAAAAAAAAAAAGCTGAATGAATCGATTTCATTCAGGTAAATGCTTGCTTATAGCAAAGTAATTCTTTGCTATAAGCAAATTGTGTAAAAAAAAAAAAAAAAAATACTGATCACTTCCCCAAAGTAGTACAGTGTTACTATGGTAACATTGTACTACTTTGGTCATAGTAAAATATGAAAAAAAATCTTAAAAAAAATAAAAAAAAATGTAATAAAAAATTAAATATATAATAATAAAAAAAAAAATTAAAAAATGTATATATATATATATATTTTTCATACTGTCACCAGTCAGTGTCCCTGTTAACTGCCATGCCAGTTATATGATGACGCTGTACTGCACTGGTGACAGTATGTAAAAAAAAAAAAATAGTGAAAATAATTTTTTTAATTTTTTCATTTTCCGAAAAATTATGACATAAAAATACAACTTCAAAAAACTCGCCATGCCTCTTATGAAGTACGTCGGACTGTCTACTCTGCAAAAAGGGGTCATTTGTGGGATATCTGTACTGTTCTGACATTCTTGGACCTCAAGAAATTAGATTGGCTGTCAGTACTTCAGGATTGATCAATATTCAGATCTATACCATAGTTTGTGAACTCTATAACTTTCCTACAAACTAAAAAATACATCCTAATTTGGGTTATTTTCACCAAAGACATGTAGCAGAATACATCTCGGCCTAAATTTATGAAGAACAATTATTTATTTGTAAACTTTTATAACAGAAACAAAGAAAAATGTGTTTTTTTTTCAAAATTTTTGATCTTTTTTTGTTAATTTAGCAAAAAATAAAAACCCCAGCGGTGATTAAATACCACCAAAAGAAAGCTCTAGTTGTGTGAAGAAAATGATAAAATTTTAGTTTGGGTACAGTGTTGTATGACCGCGCAATTGTCATTCAAAGTGTGAGAGCGCTGAAACCTGAAAAATGGCCTGGGCAGGAAGGTGTAAAATTGCACGGTATTGAAATGGTTAAAGAGTCCCTAAAAATTAGAAACAATGGCTTTGAAATGACAGAGCTCAATTCTATAAGGACCCATAGAAGTAATCAAAAATAATTATACACAAATCATAATAAATTCTGTGGTTATAAAATAAATGTCCAAAACCAGCAAAATGAAAATTTTTTTTAAAATTTGTGTCCAAATACAAAAAGTGATGAAACAAAAAACAAAAAAAGTCCCCTTTAAACATGCAAATAGTGCTCCATATTATGTTTACTATATGATCCAAATGATTCTCTGGTAGAAAGTTTATGCACATCTATGAGTAGACTGGAGTAGCTTTTCTCTTCCCTTCACAGTGCTTCTTTTACTTTTGTAATTATTAACTATAAATTATTTGCCATTGTATACTCTATATACAGTTGCCCTGTTATACATGCTCAGCATGAATGTATAGCAACTTGCACAGATAAAATCCACATTACTTGGGATAATGTAGATTTTATCTGTACAAGTTGATATACATTCATGCTGAGTATTGTAGCTAATAGCTTCTGAGAAATGGGGCAACAGCGGGGTTTTTTTTTTCAGTGGGAATGCAGGGCAATGCAGTCCTGGCACCTCCAGCACTGAAAGTATGTAATAGCAAGGGGTGCTGGGGTGTGCTGGAGGATATGTTTTTGCTGGCTGCTGGAG